CTACAAGATGTGATAAAAAAGAAAAAAGAGGAAGGAGGAAAAAGAGAAAGGTAATACAAAGATGCATAAATGAGTTGGCTTTATGAAAAGTATCATACAACTTTTCTCCTTCTCTTGTGTTGGTCAGGGTTGGTCCCCAGGTCCTAGTCTCCTGCACCTCGGGGTGTGTGAGTAAAAGACACTATGGCACTGAAAGTAAAGGCAGTACTGGGGAGCTGTACCCACATGAAGCCCCTTGAAGGCTGTATGGAATCATGTGCATGGCTGGCATGAGAGATGGAGCTAGGGGATTTGGAATGACACTATTTGCAAGGAGTTAATGAGAAAGTCTGCTGCAGCCTGTTCCAGGCCTGTAATTGATGCTCTTATCTCCTTCCTCTGTCCTCATGCCCAATCTCCCTCACTTTTGGCTAGCTCTTAAATTTCCAAGGAGGCATTCTGGCATTAAACTTTGCCTTCATTTAGCTGGTTCTTATTCCTCAGAGTTCTGAGTTGTACTCCCCTTGGGTTGGCTAGTGATCACAACTGTTTGTTCATTGTTAGTGCACTGCGAGGAATGATCCAGTGAGTTCACGCTGTTTGAAACATACTCCTCTCTGCCCCTTTGTTTTATAGCCACTCAGCACCCCAGAGTACTGAGAGCTAATCACCCTGCCAGCAGAGTAACTCCTTTTTTGCCTGCTGGTCTTTCAATAGAGGAGTCCTGAGTAGCTGTATGCAGCTTGAAGTAGAAATCTTTTACATGAGTTTGATAAAAGTGTTTTCCTTCCTCTACATCCAATCACCCTCCCCCTCTTCCTCCTTCGCCTTCCTTCTGTCCATTTAAATCCTTTCGAGAATGAAGACATCTACTTTGGTACAGCCTAAGGTGAAGGAGCAGAAAAACTATTTTTATAAATATACATTAGAAATTATGGTAACAGGAAGCAGTCCTTCGTCTACTCTTTGACTTATAGATGATCCATTTTTCACTTAGCATAAGGGAACATTAACCCCTATAATAACTGTTGGTCAGCAGCATTACAGAGAATGTCTACAGCGGTGCCCGACCCCACAGGTGCTGATCCTAATCTAGTGCCCTAACAGCCTTCACATGCCCTGCCTCCTCTTACTGCCAGCTTCTGGGTGAGGAGGTGTGGGACATGAGCAGATCCTATGACCTGGGCCCTCCTCTCCCTTCTTTGCTTTAACTGGGTCCTTAGGTCAGAGGCAACTTTGTGCAGTTTACAGTGCCAGAAGATCAACATTCTCTAAGCCTGGATTAGCTCTGTTGATAGAATCAACTCAGCCGAGAGAGACAAAACCTAGCCTGTAATACGTACCAATTGCAACGGGAAAAAAATCCATTTGCTCAAGGGAATTAAGAGCATCCATTTCAGATGAGCTTCCTCCCAAATCCTGATCTTCCTTCATAGCATTTACTTCAGAAAATTGGTAATTTTAATTTCTTTCTCTGCCTCTTGGAGAAGTGAATCTTTTTTTTTTTTTATGAGTACATGTTTGCAGTACATAATGATTATAGTCATCAGGGGAGTTGGTGTATGTATGTAACACAACTTAATTCTTTTACGTCCTCTTCTACTCTCTTCCACCCCCTTCCTCCATCTCTTGGTTCCCTTCCTATTTGCAAAATTTATCTCTCTGTTTCCTATTATCTATCTTTCATTTTACTCCTTCATTTATTTTTACTTTGGGTTTCTCATATAAGAGAAACTCTGTGATATTTAAGCACATGTGTCTGATTTATTTCACTCAATACTGTGGTCTGGTGTGGGCTGACAAAAAGCAGCAGTAGCCAATGTGTGCTACCCCCATGAGGAGAGAAATGCTGGTATTTGATTGGGATTGCATGACATCCTTATGTTTTGGAGGTATGGCCATTTTGACTATATTTGCTCTAACCAGGAACAGGGGACATCTTTTCATTTTCTGATGTCCTTTTTTGAGCTTCTTTTTCATGGTAGAAGCTTTTCACTTCCTTGTTTAGGTTAATTCATATGTATTTAATTTTTCTTGATGCTATTGGAAATAGTATGTTTTTCTTAATTTCTTTTCAATGAGTTCATTGTTGATGTACAGGAATGCTATGGATTTTTGTGTGTTGATTTTATATCCTGCTACATTGCTAAATTTGGTTTTAAATTTTAGGAGTCTTTTGGTATAATTTTTGGGTAAAAGATTAGGTCATCTGTGAATAGGATAGTTTGACTTCTTCCTTTCTCAAATGTATCTCTTTTATTTCTTTTTCTTGCCTGATTGCTCTGGCTAAAGTTTCAAGTGGTAGAGGTGGTAGTGGATATTCTTGTCTTCTTCCTGATGTTAGAGTAAAAGCTTTCAGTTTTTCTCCATTTAATATGATGTTGGGAGTAGATTTGTCATAAATGACTAACTACATTTAAATAGGGCTGCTTTCTATCTATTTTCTTTTCTTTTTTGGTACCAGGGATCAAACTCGGGACCTTGTGCTTGCGAGGCAGGTGTGGATCAGGATTTTTTTTTTTTAATCATGAATGGATATTAGATTTTGTCAGAGGCCTTTTCTGAGTCCATTGAGATATTATGTGATTTCTGTTCTTGCTTCTTAGGTAATGTATTACATATATCAATTTTGGTACGTTGAACAATTCTTGCATCTCTGAGATGAAGCCTTACTTGGTCATGGTGTATGACTTTTTTACTGACTTGCTGCATTCTGTTCACCAGTATCTTGTATCTACATCAGGATCTTTGTATCTATGTTCAATAGAGGGATTGGCCTGTACTGTTTTAGTTGAGTCATTGTCTGGTTTTGGAATCAAGGTAATGCTAGAATAGGAATTATGCTGTACATATTATCAGATCATAGTACAGTGAAACAAAACTAGAAATCAAAATGGCAAAATAAATTACAGAAATATAAATCTTTCAAAAAGATTTTTATTAGTTTTACAACATAGAAATCTCTTAAGTATCTGGGAGTCATCCTTTTGAAATCTAATGATCACAAAAGACAGAAACCTTGGTGCCAGCCTCTAAGGAAGCCTAACCTTAGAAGGCACTGATTAAGCAGTACAAATGGCCCAGCCAGAAAGGAAAATGTGCAAATGTAGGAGTAACCCATGCATGACACTTCCCACTGGCCAACTCCTCCTGAACAAACTATGGTGAGTGATCTCCACCAACTTACTCCAGGGGTTCAAAACTTTCCTGCTCTTGATTCTAAGGAAGTTGGGTTCAGACTGTTTTCAATAGATTTGAGTGAAATCTTTCTTACCTATTTAACTGTGTCCATGGGCATTTTTGCTTTGACATCAGCCATCTATCAAGTGCTTGGCTAGCCTTCTTGAGAATAGTGCCACACTGAGGGTTAATCAGGTCCTCTGATGTTAACCAGCCAGAGTCAGCAGTGGCAGTAATTACAGCCTCAGTGACAGCTCATGTATGCTCTTGGGCCCATTCCTTGGTCTGTGTATATTCCTGGATACATGTGTGATTAAATATTTGATTTTATCTTGATTACTTCAAAGTCAGTTCTGGACATCTGGACCATTTTCACCAAGATATTTAGTTTTTATTACTAATAAAAAGAATATTCTTTTCCATAATCAAATTATGGATATCACTTTCAATAAATCTAACATTGACACAAATGGCTTTCGAAACTACAATTATAATCCAATCTTGTTAACTGACCCACAATGCCATTTATAATACTTTCTCAACCTCAAGGATTTAGACTTAGACCAGATATTGAAATTAGTTACCAGGTCTCTTTAGTACTTTAAGGATATTTTCTTGGCTTTTAACTTAATAACATGGACATTTTATTTTTTTATTTTTGGTACTGGAGATTGAACTTGGGACCTTGCACTTGTGAGGCAGGTGCCAGAACCACTGAGCTAAAACCCCAGCCCAACATGGACATTTTAAAAGAAAATATGTGTCCTCACCTCATTCTGCATTTTAAAGTAGAGTATTTCATAATTTTGATTAACTAATATTTCTTCATAGATACACTCAGGCTATGCATTATCTGCCAAAGTACTGAAAAAGAGTGCTTATACCTTTCCCAGGACATCGCATCCTAAGGCAACTGTATCTTTCTACTCTTCACCTGTGAAGTTTATTCTGAGCATCTGGTCAAGGTGTTGTGTAATTTTGCAATTATGTAGTTATTATTTTTTCTTTGCAACTAATAAGCCACCCATGGGAGGACATTGCAAAATCATATAAATATCCTGCTCTCCTCTCACTGGTTCACTTGGATTAGTTTCCCTCCCTTGCTTTTCTGTGGGTTTGTTTTATGCATTGGAAATACAGCAGGACCCATTCCTTTATTGATAGAGCTTGGCATGTATCTTAGTCACTTTCTCATCACTAAGGCACAATACTCAACACCCACCTCTGAAGAGAGGTTTATATTTGTTCACAGCTTGTAGAGGTTTCAGTCCATAGTCAGGTAGCTCCACAGCAGGACAGCAAGGTGGCATGGCAGAGGAGGCTTAGCTCATGGTATGGCACCAGAAGCAGAGAGAGATCAAGGGAGGAGGAGGGAGAGAGATCAAGGGAGGAGGAGGGAGACAGATCCTTCCAGGCCACGCCCCCGGTGACCACTTCCTCCAACAAGGCTTCACTTCCCAAAATCACATTTAGCTATAAGCTCATCAGTGGGCAAATACTGATGAGTGTCACAGCCTCATGATCCAATCACCCCCCAAAAGCTCCACCTATGAGTACATGAGGCTTTGGGGGCAGCATCTAGATATAAACCACAACAATGCATTTCCAGTTCATTTTCATTTTGACCACTTTCTATTGCTTGAGATGTTTAACTTGAAAAAGTAAAAAAAAAGTACATGTGTTTAGAAAGCTGATATTTCAATTAAAGTAAACTCTGTGATATCAACATCAGTGTATGTACATTTGAATTTCTCATCGATATTATAAAATCCATGCCTTCCAGGTTTATATTTGTCTTTCATTTAAATGGACTAGGTTTCTTTCTACTTTTGTCATTTCAGGTGCTTAAGTGTGGATCCATGAGTTATTACAGAGGCACAGCATTTCACTCACGAAGGGTGAGTGCAATGCTTTTGTTCTCACAATATTTGTGGCTCAGGTTTTGAAAGCTTTTTTTTTAAAAAAGGAGGAGAACAAGTCAAGAAGGTCACAGGGCACAGATGGTAGAGGGAGGGAGAAAGAGGGAAGGAAGTAAGGGAGAAGGGGGTTTAGAGATTCCTGGGCAGACACTAAGTTCACTGTGTCTTGATGTAGAGGGTGAGAAAATACAACATTTTTACCATGTGCATGATGTATGTTTCCCAGGAGGTATATTTATGGGTTACGGATTGCATATGGCCAGGTCTTAGGGTATTATTTCAGGACAACCGAACTTATTTGAAAGAATTTCCCTTCATTGGAAACTATGTCAAGGGCTAGCTAGCATTTGCAGTCCACTAATGGAAAAATTATTTTTAGTTTGCCAGAAAGACAGGATTTCATGCTCCCATACATTTTCTCTCTGCTTCAGATGTCTGTCATTCCTTTTTCATCTGGATAATTTCTATTTATTTTTCATGATTCATCAAAAAAGTAACTCCTCCAAAAAGCTTTTCTGAGCTTTTCTTTCTTTAGATTTATTTGATGCCTTTCTTCTGTGTTTCACAGCACCCTGGTCATTTTTTACCTTCTTATTTTCCTGAGTCACATTTGTTTTGTTTGTCTTCTACTCAGAATTCCTGACATTCTAAATGTATCTTCTTTTCACATCTATTCTTAGTACTGAATGAAAAAATACTATTTCACATTCATGGGCTTTTTTGCCTATTCCCCTTGCCTATAATTCCCTTTATTCTTGTCTTCTGGGAAATTTCTTTTTTATTTTCTTTAACATTCTTTCTGTTTTCTGTGAAGTCTTTCCTGATCTCTTGCTGCAAATTTAAATATTTAATCATCCATCTTAATTTTGTATGTGGTACTAAAGAATGGCTTATGTTTTTCATATATAAAATAAAGACATAAAATAAAATGCATGTGAAGTAATTTATTTAACCCATCAATTAATGAGTGAACAGTAACATGTTGTGACCTCTTCAAATGAGAATTAGACTTATGGGCATTTATGTGTCCAGTGGACAAATTCACATGCAGTGTTATAAGCAGGAGGTATGTACATTACTATAGCAAGGAATATCTGCATCACCTCCACTTTTCTATAGGTTAAAGCCCATCTCCACAGAGCTAGAAACTGGTTTAGCCAGACAATGAAACACATAAATCCTGCAGATTCAGATGACCCTTAGCACTGTAGAGAAAGGACACCAGATAATCTTCTTACCTATATGAAATTTAGTCACATTTTCCCTACTTTATTAACTTTTTACCCTTTCAAAATTATTTTGTATTTTCTTTCTTCCTCTTTACCACACTGTGACCCTTCAGGAAAGGAAGTGGGTCCAAATTCTTCTCTAGTCGGAGCAAAGAAAGACGCTCCAATTTCCCCTTTCATTTATTTGAATGAAACTGGCTTCGAAAGGAAGAGTTATGTGGAATGACTACAGTTCACAATAACCTATCATGTTCCTATGAAGTTCTGGAAGACAGAACTCCAGACATAACGAAGGCTCCAGACATAAAGAAATGACAAGAAGGGGAGGATGCTAAGTGCACAGGTAATGCCCGTGTTGAGATATCACTCAGTACCCCATTAGTACATATAATTAATGTTAATGAAAAACAAAATGTGAGTAGACTTTAGAATTTAACTTTAAGAAAGCTTGGAGAGATGGGGTTGGAAGGATAACTTGATAATTCTTGGGCTCTGTCTTTCCAGTGTTTTTATTTAATACCCAAATACAGATAGTTTAAACTCATGCCTTTTAGATTGATAGAGAGTAGGGATTCTTCAAGAAGCTGAGACCATGAAGGAAGATAATTAGAGATGACTGTGGCCACGGAAACCATGAGCATAGAAATGACCTTCATGGAATGTATGGCTGCAAAGCTCTGCTTAGTTTATTCTCAGACCATTGTCAGCATTCTAAGAGAGGTTAAGTAGCACATGGAAGATCATACAGGACTCGAATGGCAGACCAGGGTTAAATTCAGCACACTGGATTCTGAGTTTTTAGCAACTATCCATTCATCCTGGGAGAAGCATGGAAAAGTTTTCCTGGCTCTGGTTATGATGTTTGGTGTTTGAAGCTTTATTTACCTAGGAGTTTTAAACTCATACTCTAGGGCTGGGTCTGTGACCTGCTTTATTAGTCAAATTAGTAAAACTATGCAAATAATCCCCAAACAATAGCAAAAAGATATTGAATTGTAAACAGCTGTCCTCATATTTGGTGAGCCCTATTATTATAATTAGTAACAAGGATGAAGAAAGGAATAGGCAGAAACACTTGTAAATGTAGAAATTAGATTATTTAAATATCCTAATGTTTCCTTTTGAATACATTTTTGAAATTATCTGAACATATCTGTGGAACATAAAACTCCCCTTTTTTCAATAAGAATTTTGTATAATTCTTACTCTGTTCTACTTACTGTTACAGATTTTTATTTATTATTAACTCATTTAATCCTCAAAACAGTCCCGTAGAGCAGGTTCCCTAGGAAATGTCTGTTCTTCAGAGATATCTTCTGAGCACATGTCGTTTTCGGTCCTTGTGTCTGTCCCAAGGTCCTACATTCCCAGTTTATTAAGGATCAGAAGTTGCTATTTACTTGGCTCAGCATCCAGTCCTTTGATTCTGGGCTATGGTGATGGTTATGACCCCAGACACTCACAGTGTTGTCATACAGGGGAGAACAACTGATTACAATGGGTAGGACGTCCTGGCTAAAGTAGTGCAGTTAGCAGTATCAATAGCATCAAGCACAGCCTAGAAACTGACAAATTGTGGTAATTATTAATTTTGTACCTTTAAAAATGTGGAACACTTCACAAATTTGTGTGACATCCTTGCACAGGGGCCATGTTAATCTCTGTATCATTCCAGTATATGTGCTGCCAAACTGAGCACTACAATTATATTCTTATGTTAATTCCAACTGGTTAAAAAATGGTAAGTCTTTCTGAATAAGAATAAATAGACATGCAATTGTATTCTGAAGGGATATTTTTTATGTAAAATAATTCACCAGTTACTTATTGCTTTCAGGATCCTGGTCCACCATGGTTGGTGTTTTTCATTTTTTCCTGCTGTTTTCAAACTAGATTCAATCTGATGCTAAAAGGGTTAAAAATAAAACTTCCATAGGAACCGTGTAGTATAATACTATGTTGTTAGAAACATAACACAGTATTTAAAGGAAGATTTTAAAAAGATGAAAATTTTCTCAATTTGCTCCATGAATCTTGAAAAACAAACATGATTTAAATGGAAGACAAAATGTCCATAAATATGTCATAGACCAAAATTTCCACTCCCAAAAAGGTAGAGAACACCACAATTTTAGAGTGAAAAGCTACTTAAGAGAAAATAAAGTTTAACCTTTTTAATTTCCAAATAATAAAGGAGAAAATTAGGCTTAGGAAAAATAAATGGCTGCTGAAAAATGGTGCATCCTATTGACCAACAGGATGCAATGGGATGAGAAATTAAAAGATTAAATAGAGTGTCATAGAAAATTAATTGCATAGGAAAGTAATTTTATTATAATGGTAGTGAAAAAGCCCAGTAATTCTGTTATGAAAATGATTTTTAAAATATAGAAAATTGCCATAATATGGACTGCAAATTATCCATGACTTTCGACTTTGTCCTTTATTTCTCAATTAATTTTACTACTTTCACAAATTCAATCTGTTAGTGCAGTCACATTTTAGTCATCCACTCAAAGCAGGGGCTCTGTAAGGGACCAGTTATTTAACCAAATCAATATTTACTTTGTTAGCCAGTGTTGAATTGGTGGGTTACTAAGATGTTTTCAATATAATTTTAAAAAGTGAGACTACAAAGTAAATAATTTATCCCCATTGATTAAAAAGCAAAAGACAATCAATAGTTTTATAACAGCTGGCAAATTATTGAAGGCTATTATCTTATTCTTCAAATTAGCTTGTATATGTTGCAACAGCAATCTTGAACATTCTATAAAACAGTTGGTCTAATTTTTTTTTCCAGTACCAGGGATTGAACTCAGGACCTTGTGCTTGCGAGGCAGGTGCAGCACCACTGAACTAAATCCCTGGCCCTAATTTTGAATGGAATTGAAATTTGCCATAATTGTAGAAATTGCCAAAACCTGAGGACCATCTAATTATGAATACTTGACACATATTTGGAGGTTTTAGTCTAGAGAGGCTCATATATCCTAATTTTAGAAACATTAGATTATTTCTTACTGTTTAAAAAAGCTGAACAATGAAGCATTTCCCTTCTTAGGCAACTTGACTATCAGAAAATATTAATAGACAAAAGGCACTAGTGAAACTATAAGAAACATAATCCTAGTAGAATGAATCATATATAATAAACAATGTATCTAACATTATCCAGTGTAATGTTTTGCCTAACTTTCTATTCATGCATCGATTTAGAGATCTGGCCCAGTGGGTCTATCTGTTAATCGCAGTTCCTAAGGGTGGCAGGACTGTCCTCACCCTCCCTCCCCAGCCCCTGCAAACAGAAGCTCTGCCCATCACACTGTGCACATGGTGGCTGAATATGCTTCCCATATTGCCCCTCTGTCCTCATATTTCAACAGCATTTGAAGTACAACAGCTGGCTGATCACAAGGCTTTTCCCCACAGCCACTGGCTGCTGTATTTATTTCTCTTTGTGTCCTCAATGGCTATGGAGAGCTGGGAGGCCAGCATCTGTCTGAGACACAACTACAGTGAGAAATTCAAAAACACAGCTCCCACCCTCAGGGTCTTTGTAACTGACACAGTAGCCGGGGCTAAAATTGTATCATACATCTGAAAAAATGAGTATCTGTTCACCATAGAACGAAGGAGAGAAAGTAGAAAGAATATGGCAAATAAACGAGAGTTTAGCAGCATGTTCATTTTATGTTATTGAGAATGTTTTAGAAACAGTGTGAGTGTGACACTAACATGGTTGCTTTTTGAATTTTCAAATTCAGGTAAATCTTCAGGGAACATGTTCAGCAACCACATTCAATTTCAAGGTGTACTGAAAGCTTTCATTACTGATAGTTCTCTCTGAATAGCAAACCCCCATATTGATTAAAATAATCCCATTATAGTTATATAAATTTTCTTTCATGTATAAATCTGCATATATGAATATACTTTTTACATTTCTGTGCTATATAGTACAAATGATATAAGAACTTGGCCTACTTTTCCCTGCAGATTAATGATATTTTATATTGTATTGGTACTGCATTAATGCTATTATCAGAATTTATATGAATGAACTATTTACATTTTCCCAGAGAGTTCTAAAGCAGCAGTTTTATTATTACTTTGAGGAAATATAAATAATAAGTTAGGCTATAAAATTTTAGTGGTTTGAAGCATTTGATTTTAATTTCTGTGGGTTTGAGCATCTGTTTCCCATCATGAACTAATTGTATTGGTTATGTTTGCCCTGATTTTAAGAAGGAAGAACAAAAGCCTGTAGGAAAGTTTAAGCATCACTCTGATCTGGATACCCTCCATGTGGAATATTTTATTTTTTAATTTTTAAAATTTTTTAAATTTTGGTACTGGGGATCGAACTCAGGTCCTTGTGCTTGCAAGGCAAGCGGTGGAACCACTGAGCTAAATCCCCGGCCTGATGTGGAATATTTTAGATCACCAAGAACAGTGGCTGGAAGTTTTATTTGGGGAAAGTTATCAGAAATTAACTTTTAATTTGAATAATAGCATCTGTAATTCACATATATTTACATGTAGTAAATTGTAGCTTTAAAAGATACTAAAAATTCAAATGAGATTCAGTAGATAATTTTAATAACATGTGGATGATTAGTAAAGTCTAATGATTGGACACGCAGTGGTACAGACCTGTGTGAGTACATTCCCCACCAATTCTGATGCTAAAACCCCGAGCTCCAATGGGATGGTTTGAAGGTGGGGACCTGGGGGTGATTAGGTCATTACAGTGATGCTCTCATGAATGGGATCATTGCCCTTATAAGAAAGGACCCTGGAGCACTTTCTTCCTGCTTTTCTGCACCATGACAACACAGAACATGATGGTGTGTGGACCAGAGAGTAAACCCTGCCAGACATGGGAGCTGTGTGGATTTCCAGGCTTCTGGAACAATGAGAAATAAGTTGCCACCTAATTTATGCTGTTTTTATTCTAGTGGCCCAAACACACTAATACATTTAGATATGAATATTTGTCTATATGTTTAGATATGTGTATATAATATGGGCATCGTATTTCCGGTTTCTAGATAACTAATGGGCATTCTGAAAAATAAAAATATGTAAAAATTCTATGTTGGAAAGTAATGAAAACAATTTTATAAAATAATCTTGTAATAAAAAATACATAAAGATACAAACTGTACATATCATTAGGAAAAGAACAATAGTATGTGCACACAAAATTAAAGAAAAATTTACAAAGAAAAATAAGAGCAAAATCAAAGAAAAATGATAAAGGCCTTTTAAAAAATATAAGAACCTTTTATCTTTCAATAAAGCTGGGAGAAGACACAGCCATTCACAAATAGTAAATGC